ACACCTACCTACACACACACACACACACACACACACACACACACACACACACACACACACCCTGACACGAACGCTCACACGCTTGTTTTGATTTTCCTCCTGCTTTTGTCGTTGATCATCTCCAAAACAGAAGAACCACCCGAGAGAATACTTCTTCCCAACACCACCTCCGCACACGCCCCACGCACCACACACTCGACGTTCCACGATGCGAGCCACAAGCCTCGTGGCCGCAGCCCTTTTGGTGGGCCTTGCGGTCATGTGTGCGCTTGCACCAAGCATGGTCACCGCCACCGGCAATTCCACTGCTCCAGCTCCGGCACCGCACAATTCCACCAACTCGACGAGTACATCCACGACAACCACTGTGACGACAACCGTTTCGACGACAACGGTCACCAACACTACGACCGGCAACGCCACGACTGATGCTCCAACTAGTGCTCCAAGCACGCACTCATCATCATCGTCGTCATCTTCGTCTTCGTCTTCGTCGTCAACGACGACAAATGCACCGACGACGAAAGCGAAATCAACGACAACAGCACAGCCGACAACGCCAACGACAACACCCCGCGGCAATGGTACCACGACTGCTGCGCCGCCAACAACCACCGTTCCCGCACACGAGAAGATCGAAAGCGTGAGTTTGCTGGCGTGTGTGTGTGTATCAAATACAAGATGTGATGGTGCACGGTCACGAGGCGCACCACCAAGCTCTTTTTGATGTGCCGTTTCCTCACCGTGAAACGATCACATTATCACCCCTCCCTCCCCCTACCTTGTCTCTCCTCCGTTCCCGTTCCTTTTCTCTCCCTCCCTCACCAGGCCGTGCTCGCCAAAGGCTGGATCCCGTTTACCGTCATCGTCTTTGTCTGCATCGTGTATGCGTGGATGTTTGTCGGCTTCTACCAGCACCGCCGTGAGAAGGAATTCGGTACGAACGCACGCATGCACACAGCGAAGTGCATGTGTGTGTGTGCGTGTGTACGTGCGTGTGCACGTGCGTGTGTGTGTGCATGGGCTACGGGGCAACACGCATTAGCATAACCATGTACACGTACACACACATACAAACTCACACTCACTCACAAACTCACACTCACACTCACATACACATGCACACACACACACGCACACACACACACACACACACACACACACACACACCATCCGTTTCACCTTTTCATTCGCGATCACGGCTAACACGTGGTCATTGACGCATTTTCATGCATGACAACACACGCACGTGTGTGTGCGTTTCTTGTGCTTGCAGGCAGCACGGTTGTGACGATTCTTGCGATTGCGTCTGCCCTACTGTGCTCGACACTCGTGCCCGTGGATGTGTATCTCACGTCCCAGTTCAAGCACGGCGACGGCACTTGGCAGGTGAGGAGCGGGATTGAGGATAGACCACCACGTTGATTGTGACTGTGAATGTGCATGCGTGTGTGCGTGTGTGCATGTGTGCATGTGTGTGTGTGTGTGCATGTGTGTGTGTGTGCATGTGTGTGTGTGTGTGAATGTGTGTGTGTGTGAATGTGTGTGTGTGTAAATGTGTGTGTGTGTGTGTGCTGCTGCTCTTGTTCATTGTCCGGACTTTCCCAGAATTTCTTTTCGTTGCATCACACCTCACAATCCCACCACAATCACCCACCACCATCATCACGATCAACCATCATCGAATATTCGCCGGGTTAGCAATGGGCACTCGACAATGAGACCTTCCTCACCGATTCCGTCACATACGCCTACTACGGTGCGCCATTGGGCGAGGGCGGTGTCCGTGTTGCCTGCAGGCATTTTGCACCCCCCGTGCCACCCACTGTGCTGGACCCCTTTGTGTTCACCCGCTTGCTCTAATTTGAATGATCAAGGCCCTCTCCAGATGTTCTGTCATATGTCACACACACACACACACACACACCTTCACACACCTTCACACACCTTCACACACCTTCACACACATCAACACGCTATCATACCTACATGCAACCCCTCCCCCCCCCTCTTTACTACAGCTGCGTACGGGTTGATCATGCTGTTTGTGTTCCTGATCATTCCGCTCGCGTATTTCCACTTTGAGGAGAAGGACGAAATCGACCGCCCAGGGTGCTGCAAGGTGGGGTGAAGTGCGGTCCAGAGGCGGGGGAGGGGGGTGTTCTGCGTGTGTATGTGTGTGTGTGTGCGTCTCTGTGTGTGTGTGTGTGTGTGTGTGTGCGCGCGTGTGTGTGTGTGAGTTGGGTTAAGCACCGACCTCGCCCCCGCAACAAATGCGCCAATCATCCTTCCGCAACATCCATCCCCCATCCCTCACCAACCATCAACCCCTCTCCCCTTTGTCACATCACCGCCGCCGCTGAACCAGCGCTTCCGCAAGTCGCTCATGTACACGTTTGGGATGCTGGTGGTGATGGGCATCATCGTCCTCATTGGCGCACTGGCCATCTCGTCCGGCGGCGACTCGTGCTCGGAGGTCGTCAATGCCACCAACTGGAAGGACTGGACGGAGTGCAGGGCCACATACGCCGAGCGCGCACTCACAGAGAGCTGTCAGTCAATCAGCGGTGGTGGCGGTGGCAGTGGCGGTGGTAGTATGCGTGGTGGTTGTATGGGTGGTGGTGTGTTGCTCGTTGTGTTCTTGGTGTTGGCTTGTTGTGTTCTTGGTGTTAGCGTGTTGTGTTCTTGGTGTTGGCTTGTTGTGTTCTTGGTGTTAGCGTGTTGTGCTCGTGGCGTTGGCTTGCTGTGTTTGTGGCGTTCATTCCTAGCGTGTGTCCTCGTCGTGCTTGCAACCCCACCACGCGTGTCACTCACGTGTTTCGTTACTGTTTTCGCCAACCCCCTCCCTCTCAATCGCCTATCCCTTCCTCTCCCACCACCACCAATCCATCTTGAACTTGCAGCTGGCGCGAATGCCATTTCGTTTACCGTTGGCCTGCTGACGGTGGTCGGCGTTCTCTACTTCATCTTCTACACGGGCGTCGGGATGGTCGCCATGCCCCTCAACATGATTCGCTCCCGCCTCTCAAACAAGGTGCTGGTGTTGTGTTAGCGTTGGCGTTGGTGTTGGTGTTGGTGTTGGTGTTGTGGGTGTTGGTGTTGGTGTTGGTGCTGGTGTTGGTGTTGGTGTTGGTGCTGGTGTTGGCGTTGGCGTTGGTGTTGTGTTGGTGTTGGCGTTGGCGTTGGTGTTGGTGTTGGTGTTGTCGGCGTTGGTGTTGGTGTTGATGTTGGTGTTATGTTGTGTGTGTATGTGTGTTGTGTGTGTGCATGTGTTGTGTGTGTTGTGTGTGTGCATGTGTTGTGTGTCTGTGCCTTGTCCTCTGTGTCTCCATCTTTCTTTATTCAGCAACTTACACAACGGATACCCCCCCCCCCACAAATCACCAGGACGACCGCGATGATGTTGAGTCTCGCATCCGCTTGAACGAGGAAAAGTCGCAGAACATCCGCAGCAAGTACAGCGGCCGCCGCAAGAACAAGATGTCCCGCCGCGACCAGCGCCTCTTGGAGCAGATGGACCACGAGACAGACGTGTTGCAGCGCGCAAACAGGCGTGCGGGCCGCATCGAGAAGGGGTGCCTCTCTCGCATTGCCACTGTGCTGCGGCCGTTTGAGTTCCTCTTTGGCATTGTGTTCCTGCTCATCTCCATCTTCATCGTGACGTCGCTGACAATGACATCGGGCGACAAGCTGCTGCAGATCACGCAGCAGCATCTCAACTGGAAGACCGGGTACAGCCACGCCGCCCCGCGCGTTCCAAACCCACTCGACGTCGCCCTCCGCGCCATGCAGACGGTGCGCTGTTGCGCGCGCGCGCGCGCGTGTGTGTGTGTGTGTGTGATGGGCGTGTGTGTGTGCGTGTGTGTGTGTGTTTGTTGTGTTTGTTGTGTGTGTGTGTGTGTTTGTGTGTGTGTGTGTGTGTGTGTGTGTGTTATCACAAGCAAGAAAACGCTACCGGGCGTTTTGCATCACGACAACAAGGGCGTTAGCGACCAATCAGGCAACCAGTAGCGATAAGAGTGGATGCGTCCCGCCAGCGCCATTCGTCAATTGCAGACATGCCCGGCCATGCTCCATACTAATTGTCGACCGTGTCCAGCTCGTGTTGACCACATTTACTGTGCCCGGGCTCGGATGGCGGTGTGTGTGTGCGTGTGTGTGTGTGTTTGTTTGTGTTTGTTTGTGTGAGAGTGTGTGTTTGTGTGTGTGTGTGTGTGTGTGTGTGTGTTATGGGTGTAGAGGGAAGAGACGGGAGTCAAGGAGGAATATGAAGCATTTTTGTTAACGTGCGTGCGTGTGTGTGTGTGCTGTTCTTTGCGCGCTTGGTACTCTTATTTCACATCATGCACGCCATCATCCCGCAACACCCCAAATCACCTCCACCCCCTCCCCCCCCCTCTCCCATGCACCATGCAGGTGTTCCCGCTGGACTACGTGGTGCTGGTGCTGGTCGTGTACTACTTCCTCGCCGCCACCATGTCGGGTGTCCGCTCCATGGGCGTCAGATTCTGCGGCTTCAAGGTGACGATCGCGACTTTGGTGGTGGTGGTGGGCGTGGCGGTGGGCGTGACGGGGGGTAGAGTGGTGATGGTGTGTGAGGACTCAATTGCATTGCTTACTTGTCACACGGCCTGCTTGTGCCTCCTCCTCCTCCCCTTTACGTTCTTCAACCACAACAATCACCACCCTTCCAACGATCCCCTCACTCCCCACTCCCAAGTCCCACATTCCTTCTCATTCCTTCTCACCCCTCCTCCTAATCCAATCCCAACGCCAACCACCAAACACCCTTCCTCGCAACCAATGGGTTGTGTTTGCTGCGCTGCACAGATGTTTGACATTCGCCGTGGACGCACGGTGCCACAGGCGCTGCTGTTCCTGGCCACCATCGTCACGTTCACACTCCTCTTCATCAACATTGTGCTGCTCACGCTCGCGCCCCAGTACATCACGTACGGCAACCAGAAGTTCCCGTTTGTGGAGCCGTACAACGAGAAAACCAACCCCAACGTCACGGCCACGCTCATCCCAGACACCACGGCGAAGCTCTGTGACACTTCCGCCCCGCAGTACCTGTACTATGTCACGGACAACATGAACAGCACGCAGTACCTGTTCAACGTTGGTGAGTGGAAGTGTGAGTGTGTGTTTGTGAAGGATTGCGCGCGCGTGTGTATGTGTGTATGTGTGTGTGTGTGTGTGAGCGTGCGCGTGTGTGTGTATGTTTGTGTGTGCGTGCGATGGTGTGTGCGAATGTGAATGTGCTTGCGATGTGTGTGTCCCCCTTCGCACACACGCACACACACACTCTCTCGTTTCTGACCACTGCGCTATCATTTCATGGTTGCCTGCAGGCATTTACGAGGAGAGCCAGGTGAACCATTGTATTCAGACGGTGATGAAGACGGTCGATGGCGCCGTATTTGACCTGACCAACGCCAACCGCTTTGAGTGTGCCCGTTACGAAGCGTGCAAGTCCACGCGCGTTGCTGCCCTCCTCCACGCATTCTTCTACAACATGTGGTCAGTGGGCTGTTGGAATTGGGGACAGGAAGGGGGAAGGCGTGTTGCGTGATGCATGTGGATTTGATGTGGATGCGGTGCTGTTGTTGACGCTCAACCACCACCACCGCCGCCGCCACCTCCTCTCTGCAGGTTCCTCGGTCTGATTTACTACTGGGCCAACTGGGGCTTCATCCTCGTGTTTCTGCTTGCGCTCGTCTATCTGGGATGCAAGCGCCGCAAGTCGCTCATTGCCTCCCTGGTCAAGTGAGTCGCATGCACACACACACACACACACACACACACACACACACACACACACACACACACACACACACACACACACACACACACACACACACACACACACACGCGCGCGCGCACGCGCGCGCTTTGATTGTGGTTGGGTGCATTGTTGTGTGGCTCTTGGAGAGGTGGCGATGTTGGTCATCCAGTGATTCGCTTGTTACAGCATGCACGACACACACTCACACACACATGCACACACACACACACATGCACAATTGTCACACCACTTGACTGGCCGCCACCTCGCGTGTGTTCGTGTTGCTGTTGCTGCGACAGCGATGCGCGTCACGACTTCAACGATTCCGATGACGACATGCGCCCGTTCAACCCGGACTGGCTCTGAGCCAACACTCCACCATCACCACCAACACTCCACCATCACCAGCACCACCATCACCCATGCATGCACTTGCACTCAGTCAACGCACCCGTGCACTTACTTGTGCACCACCCATGCAACCCACAACACATGTCTCGCTGTTCGTAAAACGTGTGTTGATGTGACGCCACGATTTGCTTGTGTCCATGTTCTGCCTTCTTGCTCTGCCTTCCTCTTGTGTGACTGCACGCGTGCGCGTGTTTTTGTGAGCATGTGTTGTCCCTGTGTTTACTTTCCCGTTTGCACTCATCTTAAACGCTCGACCCACCACTCCACCGCCAATGCAAGAGACCCTGAGAACACACGAACACGCACCTGAAGAGACAAGCAGAGGGAACACATACACACACACAACAACAACAACAACAACAACAACAACAACAACTTAAACAACAACAACTTAAACAACAACAACAACAACTTAAACAACAACAACAACAACAAAATCACTGGTGCCTCACGCCTGCTACTGCTCCTGCTTCTTTCCCTTTCGTGTGCTCTTGCCCCTCTTCCTCGTTTTCCTCTTCTGCTGTTCCTGCGCAGCACCCTCACGGTCACCGGCATTGGCAGTGACCTTGGCTGGCGTTGGGGCACCAGCATCACTCTTCTTCCCGTTCTGCTTTCCTCCTTTCGTCTTCCCCTTCTTGGCGCTGTTGTTGTTGTTGTTGTTGTTGTTGTTGTTGTTGTTGTTGCTGTTGTTGTTGCTGTTGCTGTTGCTGTTGCTGTTGCTGCTGCTGTTGTTGTTGTTGTTGTTGTTGTTGGTGGTGGTAGTGGTGGACTTCTTGCCCTGCTTGGCCTTCTTGCCCTGCTTGGCCTTCTTGCCCTGCTTGGCCTTCTTGCCCTTCTTTGTCGGCTTCACGGGCTCTTCCTCTTCCTCGACCTCCTCAGCACCTGCCATCGCTGCTGCTGTTTCCTCCATCTCATCATCATCATCATCACCATCATCATCACCATCCTCCTCCTCCTCCACTTCATGTTCCCCCTCATCATCACCATCATCATTGGTCATCATGGTGGCGGCGGTGTCGTTTGTGTCATCGCCATCGTTGAGAGCGAGCGTGGGTTTGCTCACCTTCACCTTTCGGCGCGCAGATAAGTGCACGATGCTGTGCCATTCGTTGCACATGATGTGATGGTGGAGAGGGGAAAGAGGGAGAGTGGGGGGGGGAGGGGGTTGGTCGAGTGTGAGGGAAGGTAGGATGACTGATGGAAATGGCAGTTTGGGGGGAGGGGTAACACAACGGTGCAAACACAACCGACATTCGCGCAAATGGACATGGACACAACTGCACCACACAACACTTCACGGCACAAACAACACGCAGCCATGAGCGGATGATTATCCATCATCCATCATCCCATCACCCATCACGTGATCACGTGTCAAGCTTGTGCACGTACGAGCGGCGAATTTTGTAGAGGGCCCTGCGTCGCGGTACGTGGATGTTTGCAGTCGTCGTCGCCTCCTCAAACAACGTCGCGCACAACGCCTCGGGATCAAGCTAACACACACGCGCAAGGAGGGGGACGACGAGATGGGAATGCACGAAATGAGACCATGTGTGTGTGTGTGTGTGTGAGCATGTGTGTGCGCAAAGGAGATATGAGAGGGTGTACCTGCTCCATTTGAGAGAGTCACGCGCATACCAACGTACTCGAAGCACAGGCGCGACATCCGGGCGCGCAAGCACAAGGGGTGAATGTGCACAAAGCTACAACCACAACAGCCACCATAACCACCACCAAGCATCAAGCACCGCAGCCACACCTGCAAGGGCTTTGTTTTGGCCGTCAGCTTCTTTCCCGTCTGCATGTCCACAAGTTGGCTGTGCTGGAACGTGGCCTGAAACACACCAGGCAGCCTTCCGCGCAGCAGCTTGCTGTTGATCCCGTCACAGGGGTGCATCGTGGAGTTGGGCGGTGGGATGGATGGATGGATGGATGGTGGGATGGATGGATGGATGGATGGTGGGATGCATGCATGCATGCATGCATGCATACATGAGTGGGGTGGATGGATCTGGGTGTGAGCGAGTGCCAATTGTGGCGGGAAAGAAACGGCAGAACAACAGCACTTGTGACAAACACCAACACAAAGAAAGTATACAGCAAACTCCAACATAGCGGCTGACAGCGCACTGTTACCACCACCACCACCACCTCCCCACCACCACCGCAATCACCACAGTCACCGCAATCACAATCACCACCGCCACACATATCGTATCGCACCTTGGGTGGTACTTGACGAGCGTGACGATGAGGTCAAGGTACTCGTGCACAATGGGTGCGGGGATGGAGACGGACAGCAACGAGGCGGCCGCCACCAGCGTCGGCGTGAATGTGCCAATGAGATGCATCACGGGGCCAAGGCTCGTCTGGTGGCGGGGTCGTGGTGGCGGGGTCGTGGTGGTGGTGAGCGTGGTGAGGGGTGGTGGTGACATGTGAGGGAAGGCGTCCATTCATATTGAGCGATGGTGCACACAAGGCAGCGAGCAGCACGCCAAGTCACATATGTGCAAGCACGATTGAATCAAACGCGCATGCACACCCACACACACACACACGCACACCCCCACACACGCACACACACCCATCCACACACACCCCTACACACACGCTCTCCCTCTGCCTGTCCCTGACCTGTGGGTTGCGGTTGCATCGGAACGGGCCGTGCGCAAACATCGCGGTGACATCCTGAATCACATCGCCGGGCTCACTGCGATGGCGCAGCTGTCCACGTGCACACCATAAACACGACAGCATGTATGGTACACACGGTGGCATACGCACGCACGCACGCACACACACACACATACACACACACACACACGCACGCACACACACACGCACACACACAAACACACACACACGCACACACACGCACGCACGCACACACGCACACACACACACGCACACACACACACACACACGCACACGGTGGCATGCGTGGTACATTGGAAATCGCAGGGTGGCGTGCATGTGTCAGGAAGGGAAGAGGAGGAAAGTGCATGTCAGGGCGGATGCATGTGTGGAAGAATTCACGTCATGAGGAGGGCAGGTAGTGTTATGTGTGAATGGAAACAGAGACGGTGAAGATGACAGCAAACAGCAGCAGCAGCAGCAGCCACAGACAACGACGACAACAACAACAACAACAACAACAACAACAGCAGCAGCAGCAGCAGCAACAGCAGCAGTTGTCGTAGCAGCAACCGCAGCAAGCACGTAACCAAACGCACCACAGAGAACTGGAAGACGGCCTTTGTCAGGCGAGACAGCAGGTCGTAAAACTTGTTCATCCTGTCATGTTGGCGGGCGGGGTGCATGGACAATGCGTGATGCGTCAGGGTGATGGAGAACGTGCAATGGGAGTGGCAGCAAAGCAAGTACACAGGCACGTTATCATGCGCACATGGACAGGTGAGCAGGCGTGCGTGTGTGTATGCATTGAATTGTGTGTGCATGCATGTCTTGTGTGCCTCTCACCTCCATCGGTCAACGCCGCCCCACTTCTGCTCGAAAACGGCGTAGAAGCACGACGCATACAGCAGCGCTGCAGGTGTCACGGTGGACCAACGGGGGATGGCACCATCGATGTGATGAGTGATGAGGGGTAGGGCAAGGTGATGAGTGGTGGTGAAGCAATCAGCCAATGGCAACGACGTGAGTTGAACGGCTCCATCAGTGCACGCACACACACACTACACACACACACACACACACACACACACACACACACGCACACACACACGCACATACACAATACACACACACACACAGCTTCCCTAGCCCCCTGTTACCTGCCCCCCACATCATTCCCATGCGCCATACCGAGATCAACGTCCTTGATGTCAAGCATGATGTCGGCAAGCAGCTGGGCAAGCTGTGCCTGGGGGACGGGCTTGTCACACATCCACATGGTGTAGAACAGACCATCACACAGCTTCATCATCTCGCGCCGTGTCACCGCATTGTAGCTCTCGCGATCCTCCTCCTCCTCCTCCTCATCGTCACCATCATCACCGACACCAGGACCATGAGGTCCGTCGTAGTCGTAGCCTTCTTCATCCTCGCCATCGCTCTCCATCATCATGGCCTGCATCATCTCCTCTTCGTCCATGCCTTCTTCATCCACGTCATCGTCTCCACTCTCAGCACCACCCATCGCCTCACTCTCCTCATCACCATCATCACCGTCATCACCATCACCATCATCATCTTGGTCGGCACCAACACCCGTGCTGTATTCGAGTGGGGGCAGGGCGTCAATCCCCATGGGCACGGCAGAGTACGCGTGCGTCTTCAGCCACGCACGCGCCTTGCGGATGCCAAGATTGCGTGTTCGCAGCTCGTTTGCAGTCAGCAGCGGGTACAGTGCACCCACAATGCCGGCACCCTGGGGGCACATGGGGAGAGGGGGTGGGGGGCAGTGGGATGATAATGGGTGGTGGTAAGTTATGCATGAGTGGAGCGAGTTGGGATGAATGGGATGTGAATCAACAGAGGGCGAGGGGGGGGGGGGGAGGGGCGAGAGAAGTAACCCACCCATGTGGGCACACACACACACACACACACTCACACACACACACACACACACACACACACTCACACACACACACACACACACACACACACACACACACACACACACAAACACACACACAAACACACACAAACACATACACACACACACACACACAAGCAGACAGACACACAGACAGGCAGATAGACATACACACAAGCGCGCTCTCTTCCCCCCCCCCTCCCCCAATTCGCACGTGTGACGCGAGTATGGCGACTCACGTCTGGTTTGAAGTTGAGAAGGGCAGGATGGTGCTTCTGTTTCTTGCGAAGCTTCTTCATCCTCCTCTTGCTCTTCCTGTTCTTTCGCTGCTTCCGCGTCAGCTTGGCGCGCTTGTGCGTCGGCTCGCCATCGTCGGTTGTCTTGTCGCCAGCGCCGTCGTCACCAATGTCACCACCGTCATTGGCGTCGCTGCCATTGGCCTCGGTCGAAGGAGCAGTGGCAGCCTGCTCAGCATCGACCTGCTGCTCGTCATCCTCAGCCTTCTTGCTGGCCTTGTTCTGCTTCCTGTTCTGCTTTTTGCTCTTTGTCTTCGGCTGCTTGGGCTTGGCATCAAGGGTGGGCTGTTGCTGCTCCACGGCTTGCTCTGTTGCGATCGCCTCTGCTGCTGCAGTTGCGGCGGCGTCGTCCTCCTGCGATGCGCGTGTGCGCGACTTGCGATACTTTCGTGCCATCTCTGCTTTCTGGAGTTTGTGACCGTTTGTTTGGGAATGTAGCACAGCGATGAGGGAAGCGAAAGAAGGGGAAAAGACGGATATCGAGGTGTAAGTACAGTTTCAAAGCGGGCGTTCAGACACGAAAAAACCATATGGATGGATGGAGAGAGTGACTGTGTGTGTGTATGATAGAGAGACGAAGGCACACTCAGGCAGACAATACACATAGGCACAGACACACAGACAGACACACACACACACTCACAACACACACACACACTCTCTCTCACACACGCACAACACAGCAAACACGTGGTGGGTTGTCTCACTTGCTGCGCTCGTGGGTGATGAAAATTTGTTGAAAATATCCACAAATCGTCCACAACCGCGAACGACAGGCAAACGACAACAACCAAAGATGAGCTCTCGCAAAGAGGTGGGATCCAGTCCAGTGATGCTGCTGTTCTGGTTGTGTTTGGTGTTGGTGTTGGTGGTGTCTTGTGGTGGCGTGCATGATCGCTTGTGCTACTGTCGGTAGCCAGCTTGGCGTGTTTCAGTTTCTCACGCCGAAGACGTTGAACAACCAGGAAAAGGAGGAGAGCGCCAAGCGGCGCGCAGAAGAGGACGACAGCAGCAGCAGCAGCAGTGGCGACAGCAGCAGCAGTGACAGCGAAAGTGATGATGGTGCGTTGGCACATGTGCGTGTGGGTGTGCGTGCATTTGTGTGAATGTGTGTGTGTGTGTATACTTGCATGTCCATATGCATGCTTGTGTGTGCATGCGCGCGCGTGTGTGTATACTTGCGTGTATGTATGTGAGCGTGTACACATACAAACGATCATCCTGGTGTGTGTGTGTGTGTGTGTGTGTGTGTGTGTGTGTGCCTCACAACTTCACTCGCTTGATCTTGCTTCTGCTTCTCTGTGCCCTGCACTTCCACTTCTCCGCGCCCTGCACTTCCAGACTTTGGCCCCATGCCCGTGCCTGAGAGCGACAAGCCAAAGAAGAAGCGCAAGAAGCGTGGTGAGTGGGATGACCGTTCTGTCCTGCAGTGGATGGCGGTGTTCAACACTCACCTTCGCCACACGTCTGGTTGCTCACACCTTGAATCCTGCCCCCATCCCATGCTTATGTATACATGTGTGTGTGTGTGTGTGTGTGTGTGTGTGTGTGTGTGGCTTGCCAACCCAATGCTACACAGAATTGAAGCACGAGAAGCTATTTCTGGAGCAGATTCCCAACACAACCAACTATGAAATCAGTTACATGCACCGTGACACCATCCTCGACGCCATTGTGACAAAGTAAGTGGCAGCACTGTGGGCGTGCAGCTCCATGCTGCCGTTGTGCCCGCCACAGCTGCTCCCACGATCATGCTACCTTCGCGAAGACCCACCTCAACACACACACACACATACACACGCGCACGCACACAACATACACACACACTAAACCACACACACACACACACACACACACACACACTAAACCACACACACACACACACATACACACGCGCACGCACACAACATACACACACTAAACCACACACACACACACACACACACACACACACACACACACACACACACACACACACACACACACACACACACACACACACACACACACACGCACGCACGCTTACACTCGCTCACATCGGCTTGCCTGCAGGACGGATTTTGTGATTACGACAAGTGTGGACGGGCACCTCAAGTTCTGGAAGAAGAAGAGTGAGGGCGGTATTGAGTTTGTCAAGCACTTCAAGGCCCATCTCGGTTAGTCGCCCGCCACACACGCGACGGGAGGGGGAGTGTTAGGTTGTGCTGGGGTGTGTGATATGTGCGACGCTTGTGATGTGTTACGTGCATCATTTTGTGCGTTTTGATCACTCCATTCCTCTTCTCACCATCGCCACCACCATTCCCACCACCACCACCAACGCCGTCATTGCCACGAGCAGGAGCGATCACGGCTGCCGCTGTGAGTGCGGACGGGCTGCTGCTGGCAACGGGCGCAGAAGACAACACCATCAAGGTCTACGACGTGCCCACATTCGGTGAGAGACGCAGTGGTGGTAGTGGTGGTGGTGTTGGTGTTGTTATCTTTGTTGTTGCTATTGTCCCTGGTGTTGTTGATGCTGATGGTCATGGACTGTATTGGATGTGGGGATGGCGTTATGTGCAGCTGGCCCGACACGTGTCGGGATCCACGTCCTCGTGTGCTTGACAACTATACACTCTTCATGGCGTGCTGACACCTTAACCACCACGTTGTGCTACATGCACCACCACCACCACCACCACCACCACATTACCTTACACCACCATTGCTTATTGCTGCTGCTGTTGTAAGACATGGTGAACATGATACAGCTTGATGATGGACAGGTGCCGACGACGCTGGAATGGGTCCACAACCAACACGACGCCGTGTCCCTCATCGCCTGGTCCGTCACTCTGCTGCATGGTGGTGGTGGTGGTGGTGGTGGTGGTGGTGTGATGGTGATTGTGATGATTGTGTTTGCGGTTGTGGTTGTGTGTAAAGTTTTGTGTGTTTGCGTTTGCGTGTTTGTGCAGACACACGATTCATCACCATGCAACTTAGCTCATCTTTCACCCGTCTCCATCCATCCAACCGACCAACTCACCCATCCCCCAACATACCCCCCCCACCTTGATTTTGCGCAGCGGGCTGCGGGGTGACTCGACGATTCGCGTGCTGAACGGCGCGGGCACGAGCGACCCCATCACCACCCTCACCTTCCACACCGCCCCAATTGTCGACATCAGGGTTGGTGGCGATTGCCGCTCTGTGATGGCAATGGCAGAGTGGCTGTGGGAGGAAGTGTAACGCGCGTTTGTGTGCGTGTGTGTTTGTGCGTTTGTGTACATATGTATACATCTGTGTGCGTGTGTACATCTGTGTGCGTGTGTGTGTGTGTGTGTGCACCTTTGCACGCGTGTCCAAAATATCACCAGTCACACCCCGCCTGCGCAACCCATCAATCTAATAATCATCCATCCACGCGCATATGTGTGTGTGTGTGCAGTACAACCCGAGCATGAATGCGGCGGTGTCATGCGACGAGATGGGCATCATCGAGTACTGGGCAGGCCAGGCGGACGAGTGAGTTATCATGCATGCATGCATACATCTTTGGTCGTGCTCATCCCCCCCCGCAACCATCTGCACTGCACGACCACCAACTCGCCAACTACTTCACCCAAAAGTCCATCTGGCCTTCCTTCCATCTGCTTATGCAACGCCACCACCACCTCCTCCTCTCCATCATCATCATCATCATCATCATCATCATCATCATCATCATCATCATCATCATCATCATCATCATCATCATCATCATCATCATCATCATCATCATCATCACCAACAGCTTTGGCATGCCCAAGGCGGTGGCGTTTGAATCGAAGATGGACACAGATCTCTTCGACCTCATGAAGGTCCTGCCCTGCACCCGTACTCATGTGCCCCATGTGGTGTGATGTGGTGTGGTGTGATATCGTGTGGTGTGGTGTATTGTGGTGTGGTGTGTGTCAATGTGTACGTTTGCATGTATGGTTCTTTGTGTGTGTGTGTGTGTGTGTGTGTGTGTGTGTGTGTGTGTGTGCACATGTTTTGTGCTCGTGTTTTCGTAGTTACACGTGTTAACCTATGCGTTATATCTCCTGTGTATATGTACACGTGTGTGTGTGTGTGCACATGTGTGTGCATATGTGTGTGCATGTGTGCATATGTGTGTGCATGTGTGTGTGTGTGTGTGTTCAGGCGAAAACGCGCCCGTATCAGATGCGGTTTGCGCCTGATGGTTCAAAGTTTGTCGTCACCGCATCGGATCACAAGGTGCTCAGCGTGCCCATGTCGTGATGGGTGAAGGAATGTTTGTGTCCATGTGTGCGCGCATGTGTGTTTGTGTGTGTATGTGTGTGAATCTTGCGTTACTGCTTGTTCACCGCCGTTCTGTTGTTTCACCGATACCTCCAACCATCATCCATACGCGTGCGTATCCATGCACATGCACATGCTTACATGCTTGTTATGTGTTTATGTACATGTATGTTTGTGTACATGTGTGTGCGTGTGTACCTGTCTGTGTTCGTGGCAGGTGCGCGTGTTTGAGTTTGTGACGGGAAAACTGCTGCGCGTGTACGACGAGTCGCTCGGATACTACACAGAGAAGAACCAGGTGTGTGCTATGTGTGTGAATACACTCGTGCGTGATGTGTGTGAATGCATTCGTGTGTGATGTGTGTGAATGCCCGGATGTGGCTGTTTCTCCATCCACACCTTTCCCAACCAACCAATTCACCACTCTCAACCCACCAACCGACCACCACTACCCGACTGCCCCCGTCCCTCTGACTGCAGGACAAGCCGCTGCTGTCGTCGATGGAGTTTGGTCGGCGCGTCGCATCCGAGCGCGAACTCGACAAGTCCCCGCACGCGAGCAAGGCAAACGCAGGTGCTGCACGAGTCGTGGTGGTGGTGGTGGTGATGGTGTTGGTTTGATTCTTTGGACAAAACACCGTGTGAACCATACGCCACGTTACACGCTCGTTCTTCCCCCGACCGCACACACACACACACACACACACACACACACACACACACACACACGACACCACTACCGATCACCATCACCCCCAACTCACCGCTGTTCATGCACGCCACGTGTGTTGACTGGCCGGTACAGTGTTTGATGAGACGGGCAACTTCCTGCTGTACGCGACGCTGCTGGGTATCAAGGTGGTGAACATTGTCACCAACAAGTGCGTGCGCGTGATTGGCGCGTCCGAGACCATCCGCTTCATCTCCGTCGACCTCTACCAAGGTGATGATGATGATCATGATGATGGCGATGGTGATGATGGTGATGGTCGATAGTGTTGGTGTGGGATGAGGTACAGCAATGGCTGAAAGAGCAATAGGGGATGCTTGCTTGTCGTTTTCTGTGTGCGTTCCCTCTGTGTATGCACGCGTGTGCACCATCACCTCACCGTTCTCCCCCCGCCCTCCCTGCCTTTGCACTTGATTGCGATTTCGTTGCCTGCAGGCAAACCGGCGACCGGCACATCTGCTGTGAAATCGATTGAGATGGAGCTCGCAGACAACCCAACGTAAGCCGAAGAGCGCGGGAAGAGAAGCAACCGGCTGTCGTGCTGTTGACACACGTGTGACTATGTGTGTCTGTGTGAGTGTGTGCGTGTGTATCTGCGTGTACCTGTGTGTGCGCGTGTGTGTCTTTGCATACTGTCATTCATCATCATCATCATCATCAACCATCATCATCATCATCATCATCATCATCATCATCATCATCATGATCAGGCTGCAGAAGGACGAGCCGGATCCAATGGTCGTGTGCACGTCACTCAACAAGAAACGCTTCTACATCTTCTCTCGCAGGTGCATACGTGTGTCTGTGTGCCTGTCTGTGGTTGTCTGTGTGTCTGTGTGTCTGTCTGTGTCTGTCTGTGGTTGTCTGTGTGTCTGTGTGTGTCCAGTGGTTGTCTGTGTGTCTGTGTGGTTGTCTGCGTGTGTCTGTGTCTGTCTGTGTGTCGGTGTGCTGGCGATGTACGTTCCTCCTTCACCCCCCCCCCACTACCAATCTCACATCACCACCAATCTCACACCATAATCTCTCATCACCACCACCACCATCACCCACATCATCACCACCGCCGCCGCCAGGGAGCCGGATCACGGGACGGGCGAGATTGGCCGCGATCGCTTCAACGAGAAGCCGACGCGCGAGGAACAGATGGCCGCAACAGGGTACACCACCAACGATTGCTGCTGTTGCTGTTGCTGTTGGTGGTGTTGGTGTCGCGATGTGTTGCTGTTGCACAGACCACCACCAGCTTCTTCGTGCTTGTCTGTCCCTTCTTTCCCTTTGCGTTTCGGTTCCCCTATCCTCTCCACCCCCCTCCCCTTCCCCCACTGCCCCCGCTGTCAATGTGATGAGGCAAAGCGAAGCACGTGCCTTGCGCGCACACCGCCCCTACCAGCCGCACACACGTGCGCCGCCACCACCACAACCACAACCACCGCACGCAGCAGCAGCAGCAGCAGCAGCAACACACGCCACGCCACTAGCCATCACGTGTGCATGTTGCACATTGGTGGTGATGATGGCGACGGTGGTGTTGTTTGCTGTTGACTGTTGACTCTGTGTGTGTGTGTGTGTGTGCGTGCGTGTGTGTGTGTCTGCGTGCGTGTGCGTGCGTGCGTGTGCACGCTGGTGAGGGGCATTCGTGGCGCAATGGTACCAGGTGGCGCCCACCGTCCGTTGTGGCGGTGGTCTGCCAATACCTGACGACTCGTAGGGGCCAGCTGATTGACGCGCGTGGTGGCAAAGGGTTGGAGTGGCTGGGCAGATGGCGTGTGCGGTGCATGCGCTGCAGTGACTTTTGTGTGCACATTGCATCACCCCTCTTCCTTCCTGCCTTCCCCTTGTTCCAGATGCGGTTGTGTTATTTAACATGTTGTCTTTCCACGTAGTTTACAATGCCTCTGCATGTGCTCTTTCATTATCTACATGCGCTGTTTCGCACTCACATACGCACACGCCTCTGTTGTACTCACATCGACGCCATTTTCTCTTTCTTTGTCGTTCACTTCCCTCCCCTCTTTGTTCTGCTTCCTTCCCATTTTGTTGTCTTCTTTGCCTGCAGGCAAATGTCTGAGGAGAAGCTTGCATCACAAGTGGTCCTCCACACCACATTCGGTGACATCCACATCAAACTCTTCCCCAACGAGGTGCGTTGTACGCGTGTTGGCACTTGTATTTGTGTGTGTGTGTGCGTGTGTTTGCTGTTTCTGTTGCTGTTGTGCGTGTGTTTGCTGTTTCTGTTGCTGTTGCTGTGCTAACGCACTTCTCCTCACCATTACGATCACCCCACCTCCATCACGATTACCAACTTTGCAGTGTCCAAAAACAGTTGAGAACTTTGTGACGCACGCGCGTAACGGCTACTACGACAACCACCTCTTCCACCGCGTCATCAAGGGTGCGTGTGCACATGTGTGTGTGTGTGTGTGTGTGTGTGTGTCTGTCTGTCTGTCTGTCTGTCTGCCTTGTGCCACGCTCTCTTTCATGTCCCTTCTCTCTCCCACTGACCATCCACGCCACCACCACCCTCCACTATCACCACCCGAACACGCCCCCCTCCCCGGGCTGCATGCAGGCTTCATGATCCAGACGGGCGATCCCTTTGGCGACGGTACTGGCGGCGAGTCCATCTGGGGCCACGACTTTGAGGTGGGGGACCGTGTGTGTGTGCGTGCGTGCGTACATATTGTTGACTGTTGATTGATCAAAATGTACCCTCTTCCTGCCCTACCCCCAAACACACACACACACACACACACACACACACACACACACACACACACACACACACACACACACACACACACACCAGCGAACCAACCTATCCGGACACTTCCACGGCCTACACGACTCATACATACAAGTTTATATCGACGCCTTCCGGCGTTGGTTGTCGGAGCCCTTCACGCACGCAATGTGACCAAACGGGACCACCACACACACACACACACACACACACACACACACACACACACACACACACACACACACACACACACACACGCACCGTCTCCAACACCAATCAGGATGAGTTCCACCCGTCGCTGCGGCACGATGCGCCGTACACCGTCTCCATGGCCAACTCGGGCCCAAACACAAACGGATCACAGTTCTTCATCACCGTTGTGCGCACGGTACGCCTCCCCTTGATGACAGCGGTGCTGTGCACGACGTTGAAGTCATTGGGCAAGGATACTGCGTCGTGGTTCTGCTCACACACACACACACACACACACACACGCACGCACGCACGCATGCGTTGCATCCCTGCTCACCTCCATGATGTCAACGCGTGTGTGTGCTGTTGCTGTACGATAGCCCTGGCTGGACAACAAGCACACGGTGTTTGGGCGCGTGTTCAAAGGCATGGAAGTGGTTCAACAAATCAGCACTGTCAAGACAAACCCAAAGACAGAGAAGCCCTACGACGACGTCAAGATCCTCAACATCACCGTCAAGTCGTGATTGTGTGCTTTTGTGTGTGTGTGTGTGTGTGTGTGTGTGTGTGTGTGTGTGTGTGTGTGTGTGTGTGTGTGTGTGTGTGTGTGTGTGTGTGTGTGTGTGTGTGTGTGCGTGTGTTTGTGTATGTGCCATCTGGCAAACGCCCCAATCGCACCTGCCACTTGCTCTTCTTTCAAAAGTGCACCATCGAAAATGAACATTTGTGAATGATATTCGTGTATTTTCAGCAATCACGCCCGTTTGGATTGTGCTTGTGGAGGGGCGAGGCAAGCAAGACGCCACGTGACCATCACAACAGCGACACAGACCAAAGCACACCACCACCTTCTCTTCACCTCCAACGTCCTCGCAATCCCTCCCTCCGACACAATCTCCCCCCCCTCCACACACATCCACTCATGCACGCGTGGTTAACACTCGTGGTGGCTGTGGTGAGCTTGCAGTTGCTACATTCAGTGGAACGCGGTGGTGTTGATGCAGCATCATGCACGGAGCAAGGCGTGGTTGATCAGACCACGTGCGGCATGCAGTGTCCAGGCGCCAGCGAGCAGCAAGATGGGTGCACCTGCAGCTACGCTGCCAACGCCAACATGTGCATTTGTGAGGATGACGTCAGCAGCAGCACCGTGTTCGCGTGCATGGATGAGGAGACGACGAACAGCAAGAGCAAGGACGCTCGACCGCTTCCCTCCTCCTCCTCCTCCTCCTCCTCGTCATCCTCCTCGTCCTCCGCGCCACCAGAGCCCAGTGACGACCCAATGGTGTGGGTGGACGGTGACGGCGCCATGTATGTGAGTGGCCCCGGTGACATCCACTTGGACAGCGGGAACGCCGCACACGGCGGACGCGAGGCTACTGTCTTCCTCGATGGCGTCGATGTGCTGGCGACGCTCGGCGACTTGCATGCCCGAGTGAGTGTGTTGAAGAACCTCGCCGACTCACTAGCTGCTACGCCAGCGGCGCCGCCCGCATGCAGCGGCATCTCGCCGCTTACTCTTTACTGCAGCCGGGCCTTGTCAAGGCAGCTCGTTGTTCCTCCTGAGCAGGCTTACGGCGTGTGCGAGGTGCAGCACGTGGTCAACTGCTGCTGCAACGAAACGTTTGCGCTACGCCGTGTGAACGGAAACATCACCTTCGACGCTGCAGATGGTCCCGTGGTTGGCGAGAGGGTCGTGAACACGGAGGAGGTCCGGTTCAACGCGCTGACGCACATTGCCGGGTCGCTCATTGTGAGCGGCGTGCCCAACATGCGCGTGCTTGACCTTGGCAGCGTGGAGCACGTGGGCGGTGAAGTGATCATCACCAACAACCCCGACCTCGAGACCCTCAGGTTCGGCGCCCTCCGTATCGTTGCTTCCAACGTCATCATCAACGACAACAGCAACCTGACTACGCTACACGTGCCCAAACTCTCGCACGTGTATGGCGACGTTGTTGTACACAGCAACGCGCAGCTGTCACACGTGGACCTGGGTTCACTGCAGTACATCGGCGGAACACTGGATCTGCAGAACGGCGCACCCTCCAACGCAATCACCACGGCTGATGGCGCCGGCTTGGGTGGCGGTGGCCGCGACGCTGAGAACAGTGTTGGACTGGCGAAGCTGACGGCGGCACAGCTGCAGCTGGTTGGCGGGGATGTGGTTGTGGCATATCACCCCTTTCTCAACTCCACACGCCTTGGCGCGCTGTCGAGGGTTATGGGCAAGGTGTCCATCCACAACAACGGCATGCTTGCATCTGTTGACCTGGGCAGCCTCACTGCGAGTGGCGACCTGCAGCTCAACAGGAACCGCATCACCGCGCTCAACCTCACCAGCCTTCTGACTGTGGCTGGCACGCTCAGTGCGGACGACAACCATGTCCTCACTGTGTTTGCGGCGCCACAGCTGACGCTGGTGACAGGCAGCCTGCGCCTGGCCACCAACTCCATCACCACCGTTTCGCTCCCGAACCTGAGCGTGGTGCGTAATGATCTCATCCTCGACAACAACGACGTGCGGTATCTCGACCTGCACTCCCTGTTTCGCGCCACATCTGTCTCGTTGCTTGGCAGCACCAACTTGGCGCAGCTTGACTGCTCCTCCTTTGGGCAGGTCGACTGTATTTCCGTGGAGAGCGGCGTGGACACCACCAGCACCGCGTGCCCGCCCCCTTGTTAGTAGGTTTGGGTGTGTGAGTGTGTGAAGGTGTTTGTGTGTGTGTGTGTGTGTGTGTGTGTGTGTGTGTGTGTGTGTGTGTGTGTGTGTGTGTGCTGTGTGTGTGTTTAGTTGTGTGTAGGGTCTGTTGGGTGTGTGGTGATGTGTGTGTGTGTGTGTGTGTGTGTGTGTGTGTGTGTGGCTGTGTGTGTGTTCTGTAAAAAGGTTTGTCTCGCTTGCTTGTGAAGAAGGTGGCTGTGTAGAATTTTAGCTGAAATCATAAACAATCTATTGGAGACTGGAAAATCCTGTCTGTGCTTGAAATTTTGCACGACCCACCACAGCCCAAACAACAACGACCACACCCACCACCTTACTGCACTCATCCCCTCTGGAGCACATACAGAAGCAACGACCTTGTACCATGCTGAAGCTGCTCGCGAGGCGTGGCTCTGAGGCGCGCAGCCTCCGCTACAGAAGAGGTGCATGTGTGTGTGTGTGTGTGTGTGTGTGTGTGTGCTTGTGTGTCTGTGTCTGTGTGTGTGTGTGTGTTTGAAACTCTTGTATCTACCCATCAATGGGCTGCCTTCCCCTCGTTGTCCCTTCAGTCTCTGGCTTCTACCCACCCTACCCTACCTTTACTCTCTCTCTCTCTC